ATCTCTAAAAAATAAAAAATTGAGAAGTTGTGAATTTTCTAGAATTCGGTAACTGCTTATCCATTAACTATAAGGCTTTTTCATAAAAGAAATTTTCCTAATCATTTTTTTTGCATGAAAGAAAATTATGAATCTTTATAGTAAGGGTAGATTCATTTATTTTCTTAATAATAACTCAATAAATAAAAAAGTAAAAACGAAAAAATCATGTAAAGCAGTTACTTTTCAACCTTTAAGAATAATTATATTTATAATAATAGTCTATAATATAATTTATCTAATAGAATTAAGATGTAATTTTAATTATTTCAGTTTTAAGGAGTAATAGGTATTTTTTTCTAATTTATTTAATATTTTAAAAGTTAAGAAATATAATTTCTTGGAAGTGAAGTTAATTTAAAAATATAATAAATTAATTATTTGGCAATAAATAATTAAGAATGTAAAAATTTTGAAAAATAGAGAATTGATTGATTTCAATATTGATATTTTTCATAATTAGTAGACAAAGAAAAAATAACAAATTCAGACAAACCTTTTAATTGATTCATGATTTTTGATTGTGGAAATGAACAAGCAGAAAAATTAAGAAAGGAAAGTCCAGATTAATTAACAATTTTAGGAGATATTTAGAATGTATTTAAATTGTAATACATTCCCTCCTTATATAGATTCCAAAATGCAGCTGCCTTTAGATTCAAATAATTATCGCAAATCAATACCCTAATAATTGGCAAATTTCTCCTTTCAAGATTAAAGCTCCTTAAGCTTCTAAATTGGGATTTTAAGAAATTACCAAAATTATAATATTAGAAATTGCTATAGTATGGTTAAAAAAAATACCGTTTCTAGAGAACTTAATTAAGAATTGTTGAAGTTTAAAATTAAGCTAGAACATCTTTATAACGATTATCTGAAGATAAGATATATTATCCTGTCTTAACATCCCATAGTAGGATAGACTTATCTGAACTACCAGATGCTAACGTAGTACCATCAGGAGAGAAATAGATTGAATAAACAGCTTCTGAATGATCATTCAATTTGGCTTATTATTATCCTGTTTTTACATCCCATAATCGGATAGAAGCATCATTACTACCAGATGCTATTGTTTTACCATCAGGAGAGAAACAAACTGTATATACGCAATCCTCATGACCATCTAATTTGGCTTTTTATTATCCTGTCATTACATCCCATAAACGGATAGATTCATCTACATTGCCAGATGCTATCGTCGCACCATCAGGAGAGAAACAGACTGATATGACATAATTTGAATGACCATCTAATTTGCCTTGTTATTATCTTGTCATAACATCCAATAATCGGATGGAAGCATCATCACTACCAGATACTATTGTAGTACCTTTAGGAGAGAAACAGACTGAATTAACATCATTATTATGACTAATTAATTTTGATATTTATTTCCCTGTTTTAAGATTCCATTAGTACAAAAATTCTCTTCCGCTGAATGCTAATGTAGTATTCTTAGGTGAGATACATACGGATTTCCCTCTCTCTTTACTCTTCTTATAGACTTTATTTTTCCTTTTTTCACATCCCACAAACGAATAGATTTATCATTACTACAAGAAACTATTGTCTTACCATCTGGAAAAAGCAAACTTAATAGATTTTATTACTATGACCAATTAACTTAATTCCCTCATGCAAACCTATATTTCCCCACCTACAATTAAATAATTTGGCTTAATTCAAATTCACTCCACTAATAATGACGTTGTCCAGTTCGGATCCACTTAAGTCACATCTTACCAGGTTAGCTCCTATTAAGGAAATATTTTTAATTCTAATATTCTCAAAACATTATTCCTTCAAATCAACTTTCATTTAAATTAGTAAATGAAGAGAATTAGATCAATCTCTCATCTAAGGCTGTAAGGTGAACTAAAAATTTTAGTAATTATATAATCTTCTTAACTTAAAATATTTTTATGAACAGATCTTTTTTTAATTTCTTCATATTCATCTATCGAGAAATTCTGTTCATTAAATTCTTGATCCTTAATATTTAAGAACATCTGTAATCCTATTAATATCATTCTTTCAGCATTTAGCAATTATTCCTTTTCAAATAGTAAAGAATTTTCTAATTACTATATTTCCAATTCGACTTGGCTTAGATTTTGATATTATGAGAGGAATACTAGACAGTCCTGAATTTTCTCTCTCTTGAAGATTTTAATAAGAATAGGTATGACTTATTTATCAACATCTTTAGATAATGCCAAAACCCCAGATAAATCTTCATCATACTCATTTTTACAATTCATTTTTTTTTAATAGATATTATTGAATTTCTATTACTTGATTTTGAGTTTTATCCACCACACAAATGATGAAAATTATCAGTCAAAACATCAATACCATAGCTTGCATTAATGATTCAATTAGGGAATGAAATAGGTGATGAAATAAATTAATGTGATTTTTAATGCTAGCATACAATGGTGTCTAAATAAAATTCTCAAACTTGATAAAAAATACGATTTGATTTAAAATACCATTTAAGCATTTTATTAAACCCTATGCTTTTCAATATCACATAAAAAAGTTAGTATGAAGTAGTTAAGTAGTTGAAAAAAAAATAATATCTTGTCCCTTTCTAAAAGCATTCTCCCTTGAAAACAAGCCAGCTCCGATAGCTTAATAGACATTTTCAAATATTACACTAAGAATTGTAGAAGAAAAACAAAATTAAATTTTATATAAACAATCACCTGCAGACTTTCCAGTTTCTCAAATTAAGGATGAGCTACTTGCAACTATCATTTTTTTTATTTTTTTTAAGGAAATGTTAGATAAGCAGCACAGATACCATCATTGACATGCATGTGAAATCAATTTGAACTTTAATTGTTGTAATAAATTAAGTGGAAAAATAGTTTAGGCATTATTAGCATTAATACCCCAACATAATAATATCCCACCAACCAAATTTACAATATTTTGAATTGTGATTGCAAGGATAGAAACATAATCTACCAATAAGTCCATGCAAAGTGCGGTGTTAGAAAATTTTGTAAACGAATGATAAGTAGAACAATTCTCCACCAGTTCAAAGTGTTCGAGCTGAGTAAGATTTTTATAACGTTATAACTAATAGGCTGAATCTTTCTTTTCTTGAAAATAATAAATAAATATTTAAGTGAAATAAAATTTAAAAAGATGAATATTTTTATATTATTATATTATGATTTTACAATTGATCTATAAAAAATGAGGCAATATATGTAAACTCTATAAATCTTATAACAATCAATAATTAAATAGTTTATTCCAACAATTGTAATATGGGTTATGGTTTTTAAGGCGAGGCTATACTACAAGGATTTTCTAATATATAAAGATGTTTTATCAATAAGCAAGTATTCAAAATATTTTGTTTGCCAACAATAATTGAAATAATCGATTCTAAATTGCATTTGACATGATGTAAAAATGAAGAATATTATATTTATTATATTATATCACTTAATTTAATATGATCAAATTATTAAAATTTCTATTCATTCTTAAGATTTTTTTTTTATCAAATTAGTTAAGGGATCATTGATAGGGTTGTTTTCACTATTTGTAGATAAAATCTATTATGGTTTCAATAATACTAAATTGAAATCTCTAGGACTTAGAAAACCACTTGAAGAGCGATAAGTTGAAATTTGAGAAACTAAAACAGATACAAATCTAAATTACATTTCTATCTTTCTATTCTACTACATTTTTATCTTACTTCAAAAAGATACTTCTTTATTTATTTAAATCTCTCAATCACGATCTTTCTCCTCTAGCCTTTATTTACTAACCAACTCTCTAAAAATCGATGATACTACACTTTTTATTTCAGTTTCTCTCTAATATGATCCTTAATATTATCTATTAACTCCTCCTAAGATTCTAGATATCCTTTAATTAAACTCTAAATAAAAGTCATCAATAAATAGATATTTGTTATAATTATAGACAATACGACAAGAGTATAAAAACTACTTGTTTGTGATAATGAAAGTACTGCAAATAATGTAAAAGTGCATAACAACGTACTCTTTTATTCTAATTAATTTAAAATTATTGTTTTAAAAGGTAAAACCATTTAGTTGTAAAGAAATAGGCAAATTAAATAATAAATAATTAGTATA